ATTAATTAAATTTAAATTTAAGATTTTATATAAATAATATTTTCACCCAAATTTATGATTTTATTAAATAAAAAAATTAAATTATCAAATAAATCAAAATTTTAGGTCAAATGCCAAATCCCTTGCCATGTAAGCATGACATGGCAATATTTTGCCATCCAAGCAGCCAGGCATGGTGTGTCCTCAACGGCAGTTAAGTCAGGCGAGCAGTCCCAAACGGCAGTTAAGTTGGCGTAAGAAGAAGGGCTTAATTGCTTTGATCCCCGAGTTCGAGGGCTTATATGCATGAATTACAGTCTAGGGGCTTAATAGCGATTCTGGGGTTGGTTCAGGGGCTTAACTTATGGTTTTGCCTTACCCGAGAGTGCAGCAGGGCTATAGGCTAGTTGGTAACTGCATTCAATGTCTTGGTATTGACCATAATTTAAGCAATGACACTGTTATATTAAAATTTCTCATCTCATTACGTCAAATTGTACTTGTTTAAGAAAAAAACAAAAACCGAGAGTTAGTTATGTAAGTAATTTGGCATTTTCCTTGTTGGTTTGACAAAATCGACCAAAGTCGGGGAATAGATAGAAATAAAATCAACCAAAAATTTACACAGTGATGAACATAACTAAAATTTAAAAAATGAGACCACCATCAAGTCACCTTGGGCTCCCTTAATGAGCGTGGTGTTAACTAGGGTTCCTTGGTTCGAGCCCCAACCATAGATGTTTTTCTATTTATTATTGTCTACTACGAATTAAATTAAGAAAATTAAATATTTTTTTTGTTAATTAAGGCTTTATTTAATATAATTATTGTTTTGAGTTCTTCATTTTGATTTTTATAATTTTTATAACTAATTGAAAACTAAAACTAAAAGTCAAAAATTAAAAATTTTCTTTATTAAAACAAATTTTAACACTAGTGTTTACTTAAAATATTTACTTATTTAATAATATTAAAATTAATTTTGTTCTTATTTTTCCAATAATCATAATAATATTTGACAAAAACACATGAATGCAAATGAATTTTTGTTTAGAGTTTTAAAATTAATAAAAATTAAAACCTAAAACCCAAAATCAGACTCTAAGTTCTTTCTTTTTAAAGCTAATTATGGAGTTATCAAAGGAGTCAATACCGTACCGTACCGGTCGGTATGGTTGGTACGTATCGATTTTAAAGGTTAACCGAAACAGAACAAGTTAAGATTTCGTTTCGGTCAAATTTTGGGTGTACCAGTCAAATTTCGGTGTATCG